CCTCTACACCCTTATGTGGTCCCCAAAAACTGGTTATTCCCTGTGTAGTGTTTGGAGTTGTGAGTGTCTGCTCCCTGTCCAGAATTTGGCCCTTTTTTCTGTTTTGGCATCGAACCTGAAGCGTTTGCATCTCTACAGCAATCCCACAGACTCTGGTGTCCGTCTGAATTCCCTTTGTTGTCTGTCCTGCAGTCCTTGTCTCGGACACCTGACCACAGGAGAGCTGAACCGAGGGGTGCTGGAAAGGAGTGTCCGGGGGGTGATGAACGCTGTGAACTGCACATGTGTTTTAATAAGCAAGTCAAATATTGACTAGTCCTGCGTTGAGCCCGTGGTGGTTACAGGCATCGTTCCTGGACTCTGGTGATCCCCTATCCTGCCCTTTTCGTTACAGATAAACGGATGATCTTTGTTCAGCCTGGAGTGTTAATTTTCTTCCTTGGCATAAATAATCTTTGATAATTTCTGGGTTGATATACAAGACCCGTGCTGTACATAAATGGATGAGTGATATGAGGAATATCTACAAATGTAGTTATGTTGTATGTAATGTACATAAGGAGAGAATGTATTTTGTTCATTTTTTTCTTAATAAAAATGTATATGCTAGCAAGGGCGTCTATTTAAGATCTGTTCGTTCTGACATCGCTTCCTTCTGGGAATGGAAGAACATCTGTGAAGGTCTCATAGCAGTGGCGCAGAAACTGTGAAAGCGGTGGTGCGTTATGCCTGGGCGGCAGGGGCTGTTGCTGCCGGAGGAGCCCGCCGGGGCCCTCCGCACTGCGCACCAGCGGAGAAAATACCCTGTTCCCTGAAATCGGTGATGGGCTGGGTCCGTAACCCGTAAATCCGGTGCGTGCTTCGCAGCGGCAAAAACTTTTACTGGGGAGGAACGCAGAGTTACAACATAGACTAATGCAAACCACCGACTTCTAATATTTAAATCAAACCAAATTCTGGTGGTTTTGTTTTGGTTTGGTTGTTTTTTTTCCCTTTGCATAAGTGGAAACTTAACCTGGAACAAAATGTTTTATTTTGGGCACTTGGGGGCAAATGGAGATGCTGAACTGCCCACGCCGCTGCTGACCGTGGTGTTGCCCTTGCGTGATGGCCCTCTCTCGTGAGGGTTTGGGGTGCAAGGTTTGATTCCCTCCTCCGCCGCCTGGCCAAAGCGTGAGGAGGGGTTGCGGGCCGGGAGTGAGTTAGGATGAAACGCAGAAACAAGGGCAACCTCCCTCTCCCTTCCTTCCAACCTGAGCCTTGGACACTAACAGCTCAAACAACTCTCTGGCTGTGCTGGGGCTGCCCTCACCCACATCAACTGAGCGTCCCACCCCTCTGGGTTTTCTATTTTTTTTTTTTTTTTTTTTTATTTAAGGGAAGTTTTTCACCACTATCCTGCTTTCTTCTGCATGGGAAAAATACAAGCTCCTCCATGGCTGGCTACGTTTGAAGGTCTGGGTTGGTTTTGCTCCTGCTTGTCCGGTGTTGCCACGTGTTCTTGCTAGCAGGACCACGCAGGGCCTGTGCTGGGTTTCCAAACAAGCTCAAACCATAGCCAGCTGTAACATCCAGATAAGGGATAGCACAAGCTCTACTCCCCCCATCCCTCTTCGCTCAACCAAGAAACAAGTCTTTTACATAAGAATGTTTATTGACAGAAATACATGATGCTTTCAAAATATATTTGTAGGAAAATGCAAGAATAATCTCTACAATCCAGTTGCTCAGTAAATTCCAGTGTAAATCAGACTCCTGTCCCCATGAGAGATGCTGCTATACAGTACGTAAGAGCTCTATTACATGTGCAAGGTTCAAGGGGTAGCCGCCTTGGGAAATAGGTTCTTTTTCTGCAGTCCCTTATGGCTTATGTCTTCTCCTGTGTGTCTTCTGTAGGCAACAGTCACAGTATCAGCCTCGCCAGTTGGGTCATGGCACGGAGAGCGGGAGATAAATGGTCCTAAAATATTTACACATTCCTTGTGAATCTGAAAATAGAAAAATCTCTTGCAAGGACATCTGAGCTGCTTGTAAAACTCTTGCCAAAAGGTAAGAGCGATTCATCTTTGTACAACGTGGCGGATGTTAAAGCTGTTTTGGGGGAGAGAAGAGGAGCGGGGGGAAGGGAGGAGGGGCAGGGATGGAAGAAATACCTGGGTATGGGTTTGTTTTGTTTTGTTTTTAAATTTATTTTTGGTCTAACAGTTATGGCTACAACCTACAAAGGGAAGGATTAAGGCCAAAGATGCTCATCACTGCATTTCCTACCTGATTTTTTTTTTTTAATTTTTTTGCAAAAAGAATGTTCTCAACATAAAAAACGTACTGTTTTTTTTCTGTGGAAATAGTTCTTTAAATAGGGGAAGGAAAATCTACTATAAAATATTAGTGGTTTAAAAATATGGTGTCTGGAAAAATAAATAAATGTACAATTCCTATTCAAATATAAATCACTGTAAGCACTTGCTGAGCAGTTAATATTTTCACTGGTCTCTGCTCGGAAGGATTTAAGGTTGCTTGATCTCAAGCCTTCGTAGGGTTCTCTTGGAAAGTCTTTGGACCTGATTCATTAAAGCACTTTGGCATCTCTTTGCTGGGAAGGGGGATCCTAGGCACATGCCAAAACCGGACTGCCTGGAGATGCTCTGCCAGGGGCGTCCTTACGGCAACGGCAGCCCCCGCGGCCAAGGCCTCGCTGCTGCCCTCTGTTTTTGCCGCGTTTATTTTCTGCGAAGGACAGAAGTGCGAGGTCACCAACCCGCCGCTCGTCTCTTGGGGCAACTGGGAAGCAACGCGCTCACGAAAGCAATTGCGAACGCCGAGACCGGTTCTTTGAGCCTTGCGGCAACGTTAAAGAGCTGAGCTCGATGCTGTCGGAGTGGGGGCAAAGCCGTGTCGCGGGGTTATCCGGGTGGGAGGCGTTCTCCTGCTTCGTGTCGAATTTTGATCCCCTACCAGACTGGCCTTTAGCTTTTTCTTTCTTTTTTTCCTTACATACAAAAATATATAGGTTTGAACACTTCAAACTCTGCCTTCTGGTGCAGGAGAGAAGGGAGAAGAGCCAGTCCCTTTGAGATGTATCTTCTGCCAGCTTCTGTCCTGGGGCCGAGCAAACTGCCCCGACCCTCTCCTTCGTGAGTACTCCTGAGGACCTACTCGACCTGGGTTTCTCCAAGCTTTCCATTGCTTGGCTCCACTTTTCCCCTCATTCAGGGCAGCCATGGGAGCGGATCCCCATGGTGTTGACTTGGTGGCAGAGCCCGAAGGAAATCACCCCGTCGTGCGCTGGTGAATGCACGGTTTATGGCAAGCAGGGGAGAGGAAGGGCCGTGCTCGGGCATCGCTCTTCATCTGCAGCTCCTCTGGCTTGCAGAGGGCTTGGGACCACCACCATCCTCATCTGTTGGGAGATGCACTCGCCCCAGTGACCTTCTGGTCCTCTCCTCTCTTTCCCATGTGCTGGAGGATGGAGCCCTGCTCTGATCCTGCCCCTGCCGGGCTGAGCTGCTTCACCAAAGCCAGTGTGAAAATCTCCCCGTCCTTTGAGAGCCATTTAGGAGCTGTGATAGGGAGTGGAAAATCAGAAATGGCCTCAGTCCGGCCACGTTCTGCTCCTGAATATTTTTCTTTTCCCCTCTGAAGACTTACGGCAAAGGGAGACCTGGACAAGAGACCAAGGGCTGCGGGACAAAGCTCAATCCCAGCTTTGCTGCTGAGCTGGAGGTTTCTTTGCAGGTCTCTGTTATTTTACGGGCTTTTGAAGAAGAGCTTGAGAGCGTGGACTGAGCTTATAAACCTTGTGGGGAGGAAACGCCAAGGGCTGTACCGATGGAAAACCCTGAATATACCACCAAGCTACCTGGCTCGTGCTTCTGTTCCTCTTTTATCTCTTCTGCTGCTCACGCAGGAAAACATGACCACAAAAATCACAAACCGTCACGGTGCACGTAACCCACGGTCTCGGGGCAGGATGGATGTGGGCCATGAGATGCTGCTGCCTAATTACTGGAAGGCAAGGCAGAGCTGGTCTGCACTGGAGCTGGGCTCCTGCACCACAAACCCCCCAACCTCGTGCCTGGGCTAGCGACAAGGCATCGCTCTTTGTCTCATTACACCCTTCCTAGGAGGGATAAACTCAATGAACTACTCCTTTTCCTCTCCCTCCCCTTTGCATCAATACCAGAAGCTGCTGTGCCTCTCCTGGTCTCCACCCGGGTGCAGGATCCGTCCCGCAGCCCTTTGCGGCGCAGCTGGTGGTGGCACGGGACTGAGCATCGCTTAGCACTGCTGCATCCCCCCATCCAGCCGGGTCCGGGTGTGTTCGTTTGCCTGTGGCACAACATGGGGCTATTGTGCGTTTTAGCCAGCAGTTTATGGGGAGAGGATGGAAACTGGATTAAAAAAGAACAGGCTGTTCCAGCTTTTTCCGCTCAATACCTGGGCGTTTCATGTCAGGGAGGGCAGAGCGATGACTAAACTGCGTGGGCCAGATTTTTCTAGCTCTAATTGCCAGGTGCCGGTTTGCTGTCGGGCGTTGTGCTCCCTCTCCCATCCTATTTACATTTATTTCTTTTTATTTTTTCGAGTTGCTCAATAGCTGGAGGCTGCGGTTGGATGCGGGACAGGAGGGGACACACTGGGAGGAGACACCAACAGCTCTTCGGGAGCAAAGCCACCCCAGTCGCCTATGGCTGGGTCAGGTCTGGCGTGGTAGGTCCTGCTGAGCACCTGCGGGTGATGGGAGATGCTTGTCCGGATGTGGCCACCATGGTGGCTTGTATTGACAACGTGCCCCAGAGAGGTCCTCTCGTGTCCCTTCTTCTTCCATCCTGCACCCCACGTGGTGGCGCGAGGGGCCGTGAATAGTTCATTAAGGGGGTTTCTGGGATTTGTTGGGAATTTTGCCTTGTTTTGGAGTTGTGTGCGTGTGTGTGTAGGGATTATGGGTGGGGTTTTTTTGCAGGGGAGTGGTCATTTTTTGCTCGATCGAGTTCTGTGTCCTATAAATGCGTGTCCTCCTCTTCCTCCAGGTCCTCCTTCATGAGGGTGTCGAGAGGAACGATCCAGCTGTCCCCCAGCTCACCGTTGAGGTTCACCTTCTTCTCCTGCATTTCAGAGGAGGTCTCCATCACCTCCAGCGTGGGGTTATCGTGGTAGCCGTTCTCCATTGTCTGCAGCTCCTCGGTCAGGCGCTGCTGCGAGGAAAGAAAACCCAGAAACCCTGGTGAAAAACAGCTTGGCCATACTGCGCGTGCCACCTCAGGGCCATCGCCTCCCAGCCAGCCATGGCCGCTGCCCCGTATAGATGTATATAACTACATATAGAGACTTTCATGGTGAGGTTGAGGCTGCAGTCAGCGCCGGCACAGCGAGCGGATAGCATGGAGCTGGCAAGAGAGAGACTCTGCTAATGGTGGGAGGGAGGAAAGAGCAGCCAGAGACATGTGGAAAACCTCCAGGAGCAGCTGCCAGCTTCAGCCTGGCCATGGACCCGCAGCTCTGTCCCCCCGGGGCCTCAGGAAGAGGCTGAGCATCGTTGCCGTACCCCAACCCTGCATCCCAGTTCCTGCCTCCCCATCTTGACTCTGTTCTTCCTCTCCCCTTTCTGTCCCCCTGTCCCTTTTTAGCTGCTTTATTGTTGTTCTCCCCCTCGAACTGGGGGGCAGTTCCCACCTTGCAGATGCTGCTGGCCCATTTGCCCCTCATCCTGGAGCTCTCGGTGGAAACCAGGCAGGGAAAGAACAGCCCCTCCAGCCCCTTCTCCTTTGGCCATGGATGGTTTTGGCTGATTCATGGATGAATCAGGCACTGCATCACCCCGGTGCTTGGGTACGTGGTACTCCAGGCTCTGACCCAGCCCTTCATCCCCTGGAAGACCCCCAACCCATTCCAGTTTTGCTTTCACCATGGCAGCTTCTTCATCCCCATCCCACCCTGGAGGGATTCACCAGGGAGCTGCAGTCCTCGGTCAGCCCTTTTTTGGGGAGCGCAGGGCTCGCAATAGGCACCCCTGTTAAAATCCGCCTGGATTTACAGCTTCATTTATTACAGTGCTCCTAATAAATGTCAGGAGACTGGCGTGGGAGGGAATCTATGGAAAAGGAAAGGGATGGAGAAGTGAAACTGCAGGGCTTGGTGCTAGCAGGGGGGCTGCGAAGGTGCTGCTGGGGGGGTCCCTGGGTTGCACGTGGCGGGGGAATGCAGGCAGGGATGGCGGGATGCTCGAAAGCGGAGGAGGCACCTGGGCCCTCGCAGGGGCTGTTTCCCCCCACGGGGTTGCTGCTACAACCCCCGGATGGATGGATGGATGTTCAGGCAGCGCTTTCTCCCCACCGCGGCAAGGCACCCCCCTCACTGTGCAGCAAGGGGAAGGGGTCTTTAAAGCTGGGCTTTAGTCCTGTTAAAAGCTACTGAAACCTACCAAGCACCAGGGGTGAGAGCTGGGGGTGTTACGGATGCGGCACCCGCCCCTCCGATCCCTGTGTTGGAACTCACATTAAAGATCAGGGCCACATGTCCATCATCAAACCCGGGGACATCAGGGTGGATGTGCTGGTTATTTCCAAGGTAAAAGGGATTGGAGAAAAATAAAAATAAAAAAACTTTCAAGTCATTTTTGGAAAAGAAGTAGGAGGAAAACAAAAGAAATCACCCAAAAACAAATCCAGAAAGGAGAAATGGGTTTGATTTTCTAAAAACCTATTGCAACTGCTTGGAAAAAGATCTTTTACCGTGCTCTGAGCAAGAGCCGCACTGAGGAACTGGCATCCTTTGCTTTGGCTTCGCTACCTTACCCTGTGGTGGTGGGTATTTACCTCCAGCATCCAGCCAGGGCTGGTACCTGTTCCTCTGCACCGTGTTACTTGAGGGAGACGCAGTCCCATTGCTAAAAATACCCTATTTCTACCTGTTTTCTGAACAATACGGGGCAAGAGTGTTACACTGCTCCCTGCGCCTGCTGGGATGTTTTTCACCCTGACCAGGGGGATTTCAGCCGAGGGATGGCCCAGCTGCAAAACCCCGTAAGCTCCAAGGGGACCACAGCAGAGGTCAAATATCTGTCGAAGTCTTGCATCCTTCCCCCATTCCCTCCCAAAAACTCAAGCCTTGTAAAAACAAGTCCGATGCCGGTGTTACTTTGCTCTTCCCTGCCTCCTGTGTACATCTCCCTTAGACTGCAAACACTTAAAGCAAAGGCTGCCTTATCCCTCACCTTCACGCAGCTCCCGGCACGTGGGGCAGAGGTTGGGACCCCCTGGGAAGGAGGAGCTGCTTTTGGGGGGAAAATGACTTGAAGTAGGACCCAGGGGTTTGCTTTTCCAAGGGTGGTTTACCCAAATTGCATCATTTGGCCTCATTTCCCCCCCCCCTTTCTCTTACTGTCTCTTCTCTAGAGCTAAATCCTCAGCAGAGCAGCAGGGGCCGATGCAAACCTCGGGTACATGGCAGAGCTCTGCCTGCTGGTGCCGTGGGGCGTGGGAATGGCCAGTCCTTGCAGGTGGATGCTACACTAAAATCACCCAGAATTGCTTCCTGAGATAAAAACGATATTATTTTTTTCCATGTCTGTTCTTCCTTAAATCCTGCTGCTGCTGCTGCTCTGAAATTTGGCCGTGGCCCAACTCTCCTAAAGGCTGAGCTGTACAGCGTCGATGCCCTCCTGCGGCCATCCTCCTGCCGTCCTCCCACCCTGCAAACAGCCGCCGGCTCGCCGCAGCCACTGGCACCCCTGGGAAGGCATTGGGGTAATGCTGGGCACCCAACCCTGCTCCCCTACTCATAAAAGCATATTGAGAATTTTTTTTGGGGTGGACGGGAGTATAGATGGGTTTGGAGGGAGGTTTTGGGTTCAGGAAGCCTTTCTTGTCAAAATTATGACCCAAGGATGCTGCTCAGCTTCCCTGGTCTTCATCCTGGCTGCTCCCCACGCCGACACCCCCAAAGGGCAGCTCCTGCCCCTCCGGAGCATCCACAGCACTTGGGCACCCCTTGAGCAACGTGCAAGGGTGGTGCCCGCTGGGCAAGCCAGGGCGTCTCCACCAGCAGAGACTGCAACATGGATGATGTTCATCTCCTGAAGATGCCTCTGGGACAAAAAGGTCTCGGGGTACCTGTCCCACCCCCCCTCCCACCTCACCTGGTCCTTCTTTTGGGAGAAGCGCTGGTGGCAGCAGCCGTAGATGGCCGCGATCAGCAGCAGGGAGCCAGCCAGGGTGACGATGGTGATGATCAGGGGTGTGCTGAACTCATCGTTGATTATCATCTCCTTCTCCATTTTGTCGTAGGTGATGTTGGTGATCCCAAGCTGCCACGGGAGAGATGGGTCAGGCCCCGAGGAGAGCTTCCCGTGCCACCCACCTTGGGGGACATCCGTGCTGTGCCCAGGGACCTGCTTACCTCCTCTAACTTGTCCTTCTTCTCCTTCAGCTCCTTGAAGACTTTTTCAGGGTCCAAAGGGACTGGGGGAAGAAAGAGGCTGCAATGAGCCCAGTGGTGGGGGGCCAGGTTGTGCCCCTGCCTCCCAGTCAATGGGGTGACCCCCTTTCTGGAGGAGGCTGAGGGAGATACGCAGGCATGAAGCCAACCTTTGCAGATGCCTCCACAGCCTGACAAGGAGCCGGGATCTCTTCTCCTGGAAGGGGGAGAGCCCCAGAGACCCCAGTCCCCACCATCCCCCAGCCCCAGGCTGTGCACACCCTGGGGGGGGGCCTCCGCTTCAGTGGGCGAGACCAGCGAGGGGCTGTAACCAGGTACTCCAGGCCATGCCGGAGCAGTGCAGGATTAGTCCCCAGGGCCCAGCTGCCCTGCCCATGATTGGGTGCTGGAGGCTGGACCCCCTATCCAGCCCCTGACCTCATGACGAGGAGGAGGATGGAGCTCAGTCCTTCCTCCCCCTCGTGCTAGGGCAGCGTGATGTCTCCATCCTCCCAGCACCCTGGTGCTAAAGCAACGTTTGAGCACCCCTGGGCTGAGCGGGGTTTCCCCAAAGGGCTGCGATGTGGTCAAGAACCTCCCCTCCCTGGTCCCTTGGGAAAGGATTTGAGCTGGGCACTGGGTTTTAACCACTTGGGAGAAATTTTTCCTCCTAGAGCCTGGTCCCTGCCTTGGCTCATCATGGATGGGAGAGGGATCTGATGCATTAATTGGGGAGCAAAGCTCATTTCTGGGGTCGTTGTGCCTCTCCTGAGCCACTGAGATGGGGCAGCCCAAGGAAAGGAGCCCCTTGGCCAAGCTCTAGCAGACCCCAGGGGCTCCCCCAAGCCTCAGGCTGCATGCCCATGCTGGGGTCTCCGACACGGGTCCCATCCTGTCCCCCTCCAGGCAGGATGGTGGGATCATACTCACAGTGCACGACCGCCCGCATGGCCCAGTGCTGGGAGCGGAGCTCGCGGGAGTTCAGCATCACCGTGCACGTTTCCCTGCTGGCATTGAAAGCGCGCTGGCCCGTCGAGCAGAAACTCTCGAAGAAGGAGATGTTGACGCTGGCGGTCTTCCACTCAGCCTGCAGTGACAGCAAGGGCTCAGCACCGTTCCCCCACCTGGGGACCGCCGAGGAGCATGTCGCCCCATCGCCAGGGATGCTGCGGCCATCCCCATCCCCATCCTTCCCCATCCCTTTGCACCGCCCGGCCACCGCCGGCCCTCCCAGGGAACAGGAAAAGTTTAAAAGTAGTTTCTTTACAAGAAGCTGAGCTCTTGGCTGCCGTTCCTCACCGGGGCCCTGCGCTGGCCTTATCTGAGAGCTGCAGCTTTTGGCGTTACAGGAATAGCAGGTCCCCAAGGGAAGCAGGGCGGGGGGGCCAGGGGAGGCCGAGGGGCCGCAGTGGGAGCGGGACAAGGCTGTGCAGCCCCCCTGTGCCCCCGCGGGCATCTGCGGCCCTCCCACCACCCACATTTCTACCCTCTGTCCCCAAAACACCGGTCCCTGTCCTAGCACTTCCCCACAGCTCTGCGGAGGCAAGAGAATGTGTTTGGCTTTCGGACAAACTGGAGCATCCCTGGAGGGGTTAGCCTGGAAGGAGCTGGGGGGATGGTAGAGGGTGGAGCCCACATCCCCTCTGAGATGCTCCTGAGGCTTTTTACAACCGCTGAATGCTTCATAGCTGCTGGGAGCTCACTAAGGTAGAGATGGTCGCCCTCCTGCACGCACAGCTCCTGCACAGCTGCTGCTTGCACAGGACTGCACGCACAGGCGGTGCATGCACAGGTCCTGTATGCAGAGATGCTGCATGCACAGGTCCTGCCTGCACAGGTCCTTTGTGCACAGACCTTGCCTGCATAGCTTCTGCATGCACATGTTCTGCGTGCACAGGTCCTATATGCAGAGATGCTGTACATACAACTGCTTGCACAGGTCGTGTGTGCACAGGTCGTGCGTGCACAGGTCGTGCATACAGAAATACTGCACGCGCAAACACCGCATGCACAAGTCCTTCGTGCACAGATGCTATGTGCACAAGATCTTGGCTGCACAGGTCCTGTGTGCAAAAGTCCTCCGTGCACACTGGAACAAGGTGCTAGGCAGCACGTGCCCTGGCTGGGAAAGGCTCTGCTCCTGCCTGCTCCAACCCCAAACCTTCCCCTCCCTCTGCAACACCGTCCGTGCCAGGTCCCGCTCGCACGGATGGCCAGCAGCATCCCGCTTTCTCCACTGCAAGGACGGGAGCCACCCAGCCGAGGAAGACACCTAATCTCACCCCATCGTATCTAAATATTTGGGAAGCGGCAGTGGAGACAGGATGCACTTGCCGGGGTGGAAGACCGGTCCTGGACACAGCACGAGGGTGAGCTCAGCATCGTGAGGCCCCGGCCGTCCCTGGGAACTTTCACTTTGCACAGTCCTTTCACTTTGCACAGGGAGAAACTTCCCCCAGGCCCCTTTCTTGAATCCGCGCCATCCTGGCTGCATCCCTGGGAAAAGAGCTGGATGGGAAACCTGCCCCAGCCCTGTGCCAGGGCAGCCCACGGGCAGCGAGGTGAGACCTCGGCAAGGCAACATCCCCAAGAAAGCTCATAGACAGTGGGACAGGGAGGAGAGGGTCACGGCTTGGTCGGGGCGGTGTTTTTATCATATTCAGACGCTGGGTTGTGCTCCTACGCTTTAAATGCCCCGCAGTTTATCAATCCCTGCCTGTGCAGCATTTTCTGCTCAGCAGAGGCATGAAAAGCCTCTCTGCTGCCTCCCTGCATCCTTCTTTCCCAGTTTTTGCTGCAGCTCTGCCTTCCCTCAGCCCTTAATAACCCAATTCTCCTACCACTCCGTGGGGGGAAAAAAGAAAAAAGCCTTTAAAATGCCTTTTTTTGGGTGGGAAGGGAAATCAGATGCGTGGCTAAAACCCAGCTGAGCAACAAACCGCTTTGCTGCTGGACAGTGAGTGGTGCATAAACCTTTAGAGGC